AAGGCCGATTTGTGAACAAATCGCCACGGGAAACCTCTAGAACAACCGGAGAGACCCTCCAACCGTAAATAATTCAGCCTAACTCCCACCCTGTTGTAGAAAGTTCGTTGAATCGATTGGTTATTACAAAACTGCAATAATCTGGTGCCCCCAACCATCGCAGAATAAGCCCTTTTGGTAAGCATTAGAAGGAACGCAACATTATATCAGCCATATCGACATTGGTAAGTTACAGTTATTTGCGTCTAATTACGATTCTTATTTTAATCCTCTGGTATTACTAAATAACGGTGATGTAAAAAATAAATGGTTTATGATCTAGTTTTATTTATTTTGTTATTATTTAATATCACAAAAATAAAAAAAAGTAACTGATAAATTCAGAATTTACAAATATACATTTCAAAGTAAATCCAATAAATAAATAAATCAGTTTAGCTTAATACCCTACAACATCACAGAAAAAAACCGTGCAGTATTATGTGCATAACGTCATAATGCACGGAAAGTCTAAAAAGGCACAAACCCTTTTTAACTTGAAGAATCTGTAGCAGTTTTCCAACTTTCCGTGAATCTCCGTGGAGAATTTAAATTGAGAGTTAGATTTATGAAACATTAAATTCCGCGTCAAAAATCATGCGCATTGTGTGATTTAGAAAAACAAACACTCCGACAAATAATGCAATGCATAAATGCAATACGTGGATGTTTAATCCCAAAAAGGGATTCGGAAAAACCTTACCGTTACCTAATTATTTATCGTTATACTACATACTACATAACGATAAAACTTAATCGTTATCACAAACGCAAACTTAAAATGGCTGTATTACCATTGATTCAAAATATGGAAATTTTATTTATAACGAGAATGTTTGTCCGAATGTCGAGTTTCTAAGCAATGCATATTTTTAAAACGCGTTTATTTTTGTAATGATAACAAAACATAGTTTGTTTTAACGTGAAGCTCTGTACTCCCTATCATAATAAATCGTTATTTTTTATGTGAACTTGATGAGTCACTAAAAATGACTTATGCCGAACATTTAAAACAAATCAAATGACCATAGAAAAATGATATTTGATTATATATCAAGGTTTTTAACAATTGGAGCCGCAACACGGCGTTCGCCTTTAATCCAGTCCTGTTTTCAGTTCGGAATTATTCTGGTGGCAACACTGTATATGAAGTATACCAAAATATTCCCAGCCTATCTCCAAACGGAATTGATTTTTTAAAATAAAAAAAATATATATGCAAATACTTTGTACGAACAAAGACGTTTTTTATTTATTTATTCAATAAGAACAAAGAAGTTTTTTATTTATTCATATTGTACGTTTTGACAAGGAAATTCTAATACTAAAGATAATGGGAAAGTCATATATGTTCATAGATCTATAATAATTGGGAGAGATGATTAATCTGATTATTGTTTCACACTATAACTATAGAGTCTTAGCATTGAGGTAAAGATTTGGTGCTGTTACATGAAAGTCAAAAATCCCTTGGACCACTGAAAACATGGCACCATTGAAACTTTATAAATATTACGATTATATTACGATGAAAATCTCGGGTTATTACTAAATACGATGCTAGATCCCTCGATTGAATTCTCAACTTGAAACTAAAGCTAATATTATTATTATGCGCGCATCAAAAAATTGTCCTAAAAATCTAATTCTATACATTACACAATTAAATTATTTATTATTATGATAAATGCCATCACCGTCAAACTACATCACCGCCAAACTATTATCTGTTCACATGGAATACAATAAATCACATTGCTGTTCAAGAACATCAAATAGATGGTCGCCTATTGCTTTGTAGGACGGCACAATTGGCTGTGGCATTATTTGAGATGACTGTATAAAAGTTTCGTCGGGAATTAGAACATCTGTAAAATAACCGTCCGAGAATTGAAAGTTCGTGTATCGATTGAAATATTGCTGGGATTGAAAGTTATCAAAAGAAAAACCTGCATTGTTATTTCCGAAATTATTCAAACCATTGATATTTAATGAATTTGAATTATCTGTATTTATGATATTGTTATTATGTAAAGCGTCGTTTTTGAAAGGGGTCTTTTTCTTATCACAATTTGTTGGATCAGTACTCATTTCCTCGCGAAGTTTCGCGACCTCTTTAGCCAACTCTTCATACTTCCTTTGTACCTTTCTGGGTTCTTTTTGCCATGACTATCAAAAAAAAACAAATAAAAGCGATTAAAATTTATTCAAATGTGGAATTTCTATGTAAAAAAAATTTTCTATACGTACTTTTGACGCCAAAGTAGACACAGTTCGCATCGATATGCAGAATCCCTTAGCTTTCAATGCTTTAGCGTATTGACTTCGATATATTAAGAATTTGTTGGTCGCTCGTGCTCGTAAAATTCCATTTTGGTCTCGTCGGATCAAGTCTTTTGGATTGACATCGGGAGGAAAAGGGACATCTACGGGCGGAACCATCTCTGCTGGAATATTACGTAGACTTGCTCGCATTCTTTCGCGATTCTCATAATCTTCCGATTCATGAATAAATTCTATTGAGTTTATTGCAGCGTCATTCGCATTTGTGTTGCTTGATGAATCAATCATCTTGTTTGTGGTTTTTTTGTTTTTGAGTTAGAGAGTAGAAAGTGATAATAGTATTTCAAGATGCGCAGAGTGTAGAATGAAATTAAATATACTGAGAAAAAGATTTTGGATTCGATTTTTTTAAGTATGAACTGATTTTTGATTTTATTGATTTATTGCATTAAAAAAACAAATAATTATCACTGTTTGACTTATTATTTATTTTTAATAATTTTATATGAATTAAACCGAGTTGGAAAGGTGGAAACTCCTCTTTATATAAACTCAGAACCATACGATTCAAAAATCTTCCAATTATCTTCTCTTGAGTGCAGTTTATACATACTTCTATTTTTGTTCTGGTGTAGATTACTTAACCCTCTGATAATATATTACGTATATTGCTTGGTGTAGATTACTTAACTCTGACAATATATTACATATATGTGTGTGTGTGTATATATATTATTATTATTTTATTATTATTATCTTTACACAGATCGATCGAGTGTACAGTGAAGTTTTTACTTTACACGCGTATAATATTATCCGCTGAAACAATTTATTTATTACAAACCATTCTCCCGCGATTTCATCATGCATTTACTGAATTTAGACTTTCGAGCCTGATTTCCGGGGATTCTTGCCCCTGTTACTAGACCCAAATATCTAATGCTGCAGGGCCATGCTAAATAATTATTCTTAAGATGGCAAGTTTTCGCGGGTTCTAGATCCGCGACTTATTATAATATATAGAAGCTTAATCTATTAATTTATATATATAGCACGACAATTGTTCACTTTGCAAACATCAATTAGCCCCAAACGAGAATCATTCAAGTTATAACGTGTATGTATAAAAATATTGAATTATCGAAAGTATTCAAGCCTTCAATAGAGGATACGTATGTGACTTGTAAAGAATCGGCACATCTCCGGAATCTCGTTTTTTTTTGGGAGAGTAAAACTTCCGCAATTCTGTAAAAATATGTATCATGAAAAAAAATGTGATAGGATGTGTTGATGTTTTAGCAAACTATTACCCGTTCCGTGGTGCGAAATCTGGCCTATCTTCAACATCTCATAGTAAATTAAAATGTTGCAGAAATCTATTTACAAATACCAAATAGAAGCAATAAATGTAATAATAAGGTAATAAGTTGATTCCTTGAAAACCAACTTGTGCTTAGCGTGAGTAGTAGAAAAAGAAACGAAACACGTCTCAGATAGTTTTTAACGTGTTGCGTAACGTAATTTTTGCAAATTAATTTCATACAAAATTGAACTTAAATGGAAATCGTATGCACACGCGCATCGCTAGATCTTGTGACAGTTTGCTCGAATTTTCCCTCTCGGTAATACACACCCTATATAGTCACAACCTCGGTCTCGAGCTATAAATTTAAATTTCTTCGTGACTGCTAAATGACATCTATATTTTGCAAGATATACATGCGATTAAGGATTTGCATGTTGGAATTAATAATTTGTTTATGCTTGTATACGTACGTACGTGTTTCGGTCGGTATTGTATGTATCGGACATTTAAATTAGTGAGTGTTTCGATCACGTATGAAAATTTCCTATTCTATCATTGTTTTAGTTTATTCACAATAAATATGTTATTAATTATAAAAATATATAAAGCTTTAATATAAATATACTTTCCGTCTTTTCCGAGTTCGATCATCTATGCGATCACTTTAGAAGTACTCTATGGAATATTTTGGAGAAGAAAACAATCGTCTCAATAACTCGGTAAAGATGACATGATCCATTCGATAGAAAATACTTCATAGAAGCATAATAAGTCTTGGCAAGGTAACTACCGCTTTCACATATCGATATATTTATCATACAATGTAAATGAGAAATGCGTCTTTGTTCGGACGACTTCACTTCTACCGAATATTATGTACAAAAAAAATTCTATTAATAACCGAACCTATGATTTAGATACCCCATCCTTCAGCTAATCAGTTGATCCTACAACTCATCAGCTGATAAGAAACATTTGAATAGGACTAATTGGGATATTGTAATTGCATATGATTTATTATATATTTATTGAATATTGCCAACCCACATTAGAAACCAGGTGATTTAAATAAAGTTTACCAGAAGACTCGCATGCTCTTCGGAAATGGATCGAACGAATAAGAAAAATAAATTTTGTGCGTCGCGAAAATTCTGCAAACTCAATGATGCTAAAGATGTATTAAAGCAATTTTCACGAAATAATCTTGATTAACGAATAATGTTTTGATGTTTTACATTCAAGATAATATGGCTTGTTTCGGCAGTGACCCTTTTTTCAATTCAATACTTTTGATATATGATCTAGCTGGATCCGTTTCATACTTGGATGTATTTCTAATAATCTGTTAGTCGTAAATAGAAATTAAACAATTGTGTAAATAATTCAATGAACAATTGAATGAACAAAAAATGTTTAGATACTTCTCGTCAATGATGTTCACAGATAACGATAATGAAATGTGTATTTTTAATTCGGTGCTTGGCAGCCGATGTTAACATTTTTGGTCCTACCTACAATAAAGAATTCAAATATGATAGATAATAGTAGTAACAAAACACTGATATTTCTAAAAGCAAATCAATTAATCACGCTATTTCAGCATTTCGAAATCGACGATATGCATTAGTCTAGATACTCCTTGTGTATTTTCTCATTATTGAGCAATACACATTAATGGGACCCCACGACAGCATTAATTAATCCAATATTAGGTAACCAAGCAGAAGTTGTCGTGGTTCTGAAACGAGCGACATGAGATTCAAATATACGTGCATTACTAATTTAATTCAGGTGCATTTCCTGTGAATTCATTCGTGAATAGGTTTTGAGCTTCATTGAAGTTTGTGATTTAATTAATATTCTTTCTTGCGTATCTGGTACGCATATTTGGTTCTTCAGTTGGATGCTTACTCCCCCTCCCCCTCCCCTTAGCGTGTTACTACTAAGATTCGAGAATTTTCAGACCATCTTCTATAGAATGAAACACCGCACCGTCGTGTGCGTGTAACAAAGATATTACAACTTTTATTGCCTTGGATATCAATTGTCGCGATTAGCTCTTCCGTAGGTTGTAGGGATACAATCGTTACTTTCATCAGTTTTCTAAATTTAGTTTTTGTATCATCTTACACCTTTATCTTGAAATCGGTTGAAGGATTTAAGCTGTGTTGTGCATCGGAACATAGCGAGATATGGATTTTTAGGTGCAAAGGAAAAGCCTCTTCTATTCGAATGGGATTTTTATCGATCCTTTGTGAACTTTGAATTCTTGTAAATCTCCAATTTTTTTGCCAATCAGATCTAATCGACAAGTTAGTACATGTACATGTAATACCAATATGTATTAAAGACCAAATTTAGGCAATTTAGATATAACATTTAGCGTCATTCATTCATGTGATTCGGGACATAAAAACCGTTTATATGGCAGAAATATCGGAAAAATTAATCCAATCATAAAATTATTATGATGCATACAACCTTGGAGTGTTTATATGGGCATAATAATGATATCAATAATTAGGTATGCTTTGACGTGGAATTTGTTGTTTCATAATTCTAACTTCCAAACTAATCCCTTGCGCGAAGTAAAATCCACATGGTACGAAATAATTACTGCATATATCGACTGCGTGTTTTTTCCAATCTTCCATTATGGCGTCATATATAATATACTAAAACAAACACACGTTATTATTTAGATCTTGACTGTAGCGGCAGAAACATCTAATATCAGAAGGATTAAAAGACGCGGATAACAAATAATTTACCGGCAACAGATTTTAATATAGCCTTGAGTACTAACGATGCCAGAACGGACGCCTTTGAATCTCATATAGAAAGCATGATTTTACGCAACTTTAATTTTTTGCCCAATAAGACTAGTGGAATAATAAATATTGTAAAACAAGGTTTATAAATTTGGATAACTACGTACGTACGTTGTTTCCCGAAATTTGAAGGTGATGACATAAAAATTAATATATTAACTATCATAAAGAGATTTTTAAAGACTTGATATTATGAAATAAATCTGATGTGTATGTTTACGTATATGTTATGTTAATACGTATGTTAATATGCTATTAGACATTTTCAGAATAATTGATTAACCTAAATTCCGATTATTCTTGGAAAATCAAAAATTAGGAACATTAATTACTTTAATTAATGGTTAGTGCAAATTTTTCACTTTGTGAGCATGCTATTGTTGTCCTCAAATACAAGTAGTTTAAGAGTTTCACAATAAATTGGTTCAATAAATATGTCTGAAAGAATCAAAAATAGAAAATTATAGAGCAGAGTTGAGCACTGAACTAACTGGACATTTAATAAACCGCACTGAATCATTAGAATTACAAAATTTATAAATTTAACATGACTGGACATATAACCCATCCAGATACGTATATAGAATTTTCAGTTGAATTCATACAAGAATATATTACATAACATATAAAATTTATAAACTTCTTTACGAAGAAGTAAATACAAAATTAATCCGTGAATATGCTCAGAAAGGACTTATTCACAGATTAAATTTTGTATTTATAAGTGACTCGTTATAGTAAACTCTTGTTATGGTAAAGTCTACCCAATTAAAGTCTTGATATAGTAAAGTTCAGTCCAAAACTGTCTATAATAATCCTCTTGTTATAGTAAATTTACCGTTACTAATAAACTCTCGATATAGTAAACCTCCGGATGGCGTTATGATAACAAGAGTCACTTGCACTTCTTAGAAAAGAAGTTTATACATTTTATAAATATAAACGTTTAACGACTTTAGATGGTATGCATCTTATTATCTAGAACATGGTGTTTATGACAGTTGCTTTTTCCAAATTTAAATATTAGTATATGTATAGCAATATGGTGATTCTTTTAGCTAGCTATCAAAATTTATGAATTAATAATAATATTGTATTAAAAGTTGAAAATTGAACATTTGACAACTTGTTTTTATTATCTCATTCATGCA